CCCCCCCCCCCCCTTTTTTTTTTCCTTAATCCCTTTTCTCTTCTCTCTCTCTCTCTCTTCTTGCAGGAGAGTTCGCGGTGGCAATGGCTGCAAAGTTGGAGATGAGAATTGCAGCTTGTATGTTCACCTCTCTACTTTTTTTCTCTAAAGTCTTGTTTCAAAATGACTCCTTTGTCTACTTTAGGAAAGTTTTAGAATCTTTAAATTTAGAAAAATTTTGAGTTGAACTATAGCTGAATTCAATAACTTAGTGCTCTTTGACTCGAATATCTTGCCAATCTTGAAACTTTTCTTGAATTCATTTTTCTTGAATTTATTGGTCATGATCTGGGTTTTTTCGTGAATGGAGCTGATTTGATCTAGAAAGGTTGGGGATTTGTTTATGGGAGGGAGATAATATACTATTTACTAGGGAGTAATATGTTTGTGGTGTGCAGGATGTTGATGTGGGAAGATGGGTTCTGCAGAGGGAGAGTTGCAGAATGTTTGGAAGATATGGAAGGGCAAGACCCGGTCAGGAAGGCGTTCAGCAAGATGTCGATTCAGTTATATAATTATGGAGAAGGGTGGGTAGTGGGTAGGTGATTTGGTTTTTTTTTTTTTAAAAAAAATTGGATTCTACAAGTCTCTCTCTGTGGATGTCCTTGAAGAAAAAGTAGGGAGTAAAGTATGGTAGTGAGGTTAGAAACACAGCAAATGGCAAGAGATCTTACCAGTTTGTTGGCTTGGGTTGGTTACAGGTTAATGGGGAAAGTTGCATCTGATAAGTGTCACAAATGGGTTTTCAAGGAGCCTGCGGAATGCGACCCAAGCATATCCAATTACTGGCAGAGCTCATTTGATGCTGTAAGTACCCCTCCCCCTCCCCTCCAAAACAAACACCAGATTGCCTTCTTTTTTAATAATGCCTGATGATCCAGTACCTTCTTCTTCTTCTTCTTCCTTTCAGCTTCCCACTGAATGGACAGACCAGTTTGAGTCAGGTATTCAGGTCAGATTCAAATGCCCAAAATTAATTATTGCCTCACTTTCATTGATTCCCATTTGAGTCATTTCTAGGATAGTGACCTCTACTTTCTGTACTAGCTAGATTGTTTATTTATTTATTCATTCAATCTGGTCCAGACTATTGCTGTAATTCAAGCTGGCCATGGGTTACTGCAATTGGGCTCTTGTGAGATTGTGAGTTCTGTTCACTAGTAGTATCTTCTTGTGGTGGTGCAAAACCATATGTCCATTTCTCTTTGATCTCATTTTGTGCCTGATAATAATTAGATACCAGAGGATCTCCACTTTGTGCTGAGAATGAGACACACATTTGAGTCTCTGGGCTACCAGTCTGGCTTCTATCTCTCCCAGCTGTTTTCTGCAACTCGGAACACGTCACACTCTTCAACTCTGGCTTCAAAGCAACCCACACTCTCAATCCACTCCCCTCCTCCACTTTTCAACTGGGCTCCTCCTGCCAGGCATATCCCTTCATCTTCCCCAACCTTTCACAACTCAGCCAGGAATCATCCTCTTCCTCATTCGTCTCAAGGATTGATGGGAGATCATGAAGCTGATACCAAATGGCCTAATACTGCATTGAGCTTCTTCAGTGCCCTAACAAGCCGATCTGATGACCCCGGCCTTTTATTCAACCCCGAAGACAGAGGTGACAAGTTTGACCAGAACCGTCACCCTCTCATCAACATTGGAGGGAAGACCATACACCCAAATTCACACACTTCAAGTTTGCACACAAATGGTGGTCACAATGTGGGAAATAATAAGTTCAAGAGGAGCTTTACACTGCCTGCTAGAATGGCTTCGTCTTCGTCCTCAACTTCACTCGAACAACACCTAAACAATCATGGGGATTATAGAAGTGAAGCCGGGATATGCTCGGATGTAATGGAACATTTCCTGGAATGATATATGGCAAGACTTCAAGGAGTGGGTTAATAGCGAAGATCGAAGACATGTACTTAAAGGAAATCATTTAGCTGTATTTTCCACTCACAGTTTGTGCTTGTTTTAGCACAATTGGGTTTGGCTTTCCTTTTTTTTTTTTGCTCAATGAACATTTGTGCAATTTCCTGTAAACCGCACATTTCATCTGCATGTGAAAGATGATGTCTGCTTGCAGTTGGCTATTGAT